CAGTGGCCACAGGGATGAAGCCTTTCCAGCAGTTGGTAGGATTAATGAGGAAAGGGCTTCTGTAGATTTTCAAGAGAACTGATCTGCCCTTGCCCGGAGCTTCCATCTGCCCCTCTCCATCCTGATCAGCCACTAGGAAAGCAGGGAACTGTTCCCAGAATGCTCTCTGATGCTTACTTCCCTCTTCCTTCATCATTCTCCCCCTCAGACCCATTTTCTGACATTCTCAATTCACCACCATCTTCCCTCTCAAAACAGATACAAGTCACAGACACAAAGTCACTCTTGACAGATTAGATTTTAAATGTGAATCTTTTGCCCTCAAGTGTTTTTCCAAGTGGGACTTGGTTCCAGGCCTCCCATTTCTATTTGTGGAACAGATTTTCATTCACTTATCAAATATTCACCAAGCACTCGTTTTTTTTTGTTTTTTTGGGTTTTTTTTTTGTGTGTGTGCGTGTGTGTGTGTGTGTGTGTGTGTGTGTGTGTGTGTGTGTCAAGCACTGTGCTGGTTTTTTAAGTCCACTGTGATAAACAAGATCAGTGTAGTCACTGTCTTCTTGTATGTATTGGAGTTCTCTGGAATAACATTCCAGAGCCCTGAAGGGCGAAGGAGACCCCTCCCACATGAGCAACTAGGAGAGCCTTCCGCACAAGCAGGGAAGCTGAGCATAGCTTCCCAGAGTGAGCCTACTGCATTTAAAGAACTGAGCAGAGAGCAATTTGGGTGGAGGAGTGGGGAGGAGGACGAGTGAATGGAGAAGCTGGTGAAAACGCCAGGACCCAGACCCTGCAGGCTTTTGTAGACCATGCTAATAATTTTGAGTTTTAATCTAAAAGAAGTGAAAAATCCACTGAAGGTTTAAACAATTGGCATGATCCAACTTGTTTATCAAAGATATTTTCCCAGACGCTGTGTGGAGACTTCTCTGGCAGTACTCCCGCCTGGAAGCGGGAGAGAAGAATGGCTTATGGCAGTAGCTCAGGAGACAGCGATTTCTGCAGCTCCTCGAAAACAATGTCCCTCCACCCACTGGCTGAAACCAAACTAGCTTCCTCATGTCGAGCCAATCCCTGCCACAGACAGGTGGTGGCTGGTGGTGGTTCACTATTCACTACACTTCTCTGAACAGTGCTGAAATTGATTTTTGAAACTTAGAACTTCTATAGTCTCCGCCAGGAAAAGATGTCCACATGTGGCCTCCTTTGAAGTGTGGGTGTCTTGATCATCCTATATTAGCTGCGTCCTTTTAAGGACTGCCCTGTGTCTTGAATTACAGTGGCGAAAGTGAAAGTGAAGGAAGTCGATTGTGCATGTCTGAAGATAGGACTGGTAAGAAAACAGATGCCCCATATTTGTGACCTAAGAGAAAGGAAGGAATCTAGGGTAACACCATGTGATGACAATACCGCCCACCATGGTGAGACAATGGGGAGGAATTGGGAATAGCAGGGGAGAGACTTCGAGCTTTTAGTTGAGACATTGAAGGTAGCAATGCATTTTCAGGGAGAGCTATCAAGAAGGCAGGTGACTAAAGCAGCATAGAGACATTGAGTAGCGCAGAGCTCAACAAGAACACTGGGGAACTTTACAAATAAAGGGACACCCTGGAGAGGCTGTGGTGAGGGAAAACCACCTAAGACGAAAACCCTGACGAGGTCAGGGAAAAGATGGCTAGGGTGAAGAACGGGAGGTGAGGGTGTCATGAAGCTCTGAGTCCAGTTTGTTAATGGCAATCCTCCGCTGTGGTATATCAAGGTGACTACTCAGAGGAATCCTCCGGATTTGACACAAAAGTATCACTGGCTGGGGGCTGGAGAGGAAACACTAATGAGGTAAATTTGGTTTTAGCCACTATGCCGGGGGCGTTGTTTGGACAGAGGAGCTGCAGAAATCCTAGCACCCCAGTTGTGGATGATTTCAATTTTGTAGGATGCATCTCTGCATCCTATTTACTGTTGGAACATCTCAGAGAAGGTACAGCTTCCTCAACCACTTCATAATCTAGATAATCGCACACCCTAGCCTGTGCCGGGGCCACGATCACACGCCTCAGCCAGGTACAAAAAAGAAAAGAATGAAGAAGGGAAAGCAAAGGTCTCCAGGACATGGCCCAAAGGAATGAGAACTAAATTTGAGTAATTCTTTCACTCTATCATGAACGTTAGACTTTAAAAGATTAGAGAAGTGTTCTTGCTGTCCCCTTATTATTTCACCTGATGCAGTAGGTGACAGGACAAGATGTATAAATGGAGCAGCTGCCCACTGAGGTGCCTTAATGAAGTGCCACAAGCTCTTCTGCATGTCCATACTTAAACATACACACACACACACACACACACACACACGTATGTGGATTTTTACCTCTGAAATAGTTTTACTTTATGCAAAGTTAACTTTAGTTTCAGATTAATATTGTAATGGTAGCTTAGAACACAGAAATTCTTAGTGTCTCCATCAGTTAAGTATTTAATCACCTACTAAAAATCTCTTGAAAACCTCCTTATAGTAAGATTTGTGCTTGTAAATAAATTTGTCTTCTAGTTTATCATAAGGAGATAGGAAAGAGGAGGAGAACCAATTATAAGGCTTCAGAAATTATCCCAGGCCAACTCATGCCGACTACTTCCAGGTGTAAGCTAATCCTTTCATGGACCGACCTATGCTACATAGATGGCTGATAAGATATGGAGGAACCAAGGGCAGGCTGTTTGACACCCCCCCAACCCAGGGGAGGAGCAGTCTGTTAGGCCACAGAGGAGGACTTTGCAGCCAGCCCTGAAGATACCTGATAAAACAGGGTCAGATGAAAGGGGAGGAGGTCCTCCCCTATCAGGGGACTTGGAAAGGGGCAGGGAGGAGACCAGGGAGGGAGTGTAGGGTTGGGGAGGGAATGAGGGAGCGGGATACAGCTGGGACACAGAGTTAACAAAATGTAACTAAAAAGAAAAAAAAAAAAAAGATATGGAGGAACAAGTGATAAGTACTTGCTTGCCAATGGGGGTCTGTGCCTTTTAGACAGGATGACCACTAAGATATGTCTCACGTATTTTGATCTTATTTGCATGGCAATAGGCTGGGAATCTTTCTCAGTCAGTAAGAAAGGGTAAGGAAACTCAAAATGTTACTCTTGCGTGGCCATTCCATAATTCTTGTCAAAGCTACTTACCTCCTCTCTGCTTCAACTCCTCCTTCAGTAAATTGTATAAACAATATTAACGTTCTCTCTGTGTCTCAGAGGTAATTTAAGGGCAGCTAATTGACTCGACCATATGTGATGTAATGGTGAGGAAAAGGGCTATTAACATGCAAAATATCGTTAGCTGGGACCTGGTCAGAAATTACTGTTGCACAAACTACCCTGGGTCTTTTGAAATGATGTGTTTAACTGTTTAAGGCAATGTTTTTCAGTGCTGGCAAGTTGCCACTTTCTGTCCTACATTATTTTGATTTTTATCTGTAGCCCACAATAGGACATATTTCAGTTCTCACTGAGCAAATCCACTAACTGCAGATGATTCCTAAGGTAACCAAAGATACTTGGTTTACTGTGTGAAAGATTCATGGACATCAGTTTATGGAGCGAAGGAAGATAGCACTGTCCCGGGATCCCGGGATGACCAATTTTTTTTTTTTTTTTTTACAACTAATTTGATATTTTAAAGGCGGCCAGGATTTTTGGGGAAGACAGCAACTCCACTGTCCTGTTTTTCTCCTCATCTAAGTCGCCATCAGAAGTACTGTATAAAAATTCTCAACTTTAAAACAGAGCAGAGTCCTGGTATTCGTGGACGGGACACACCCAAGATCACCTGTGACCCCTGGTACAGAGGCCAGAAATGCAATCACAGCCTTAAGGCTGATGGGGAGTGGGCGGGGACCTCTTAGCTACTAGCGGAGAAGAATCACCAGTCACCCAGAATTCAGTATGAACGTGGCTCCTTTGTCCCCACTCATATACCAATTCCTTAGAGAAAATTACCTTCTGGACTGGTATTACAAAACTTGAGGATTTTCGAAGATCAGGAGACATACTCCTCACGAATATCAAGGCTTCCTGTATTGAATTTCCCTGCTTTATTTTGCCTTAGGGTAAGGAAATTCAAGCACACTGTTAATTGTTCGTGGTCATAACTACCTCATCTTGAATTCCTAACACATTTATCCACAACTCGGCTTCTGGCCAGTGTTTTGTTTTATGTCATTTCTTCATTTATTTCTATGTTTTGTCAGTTGTTTTAAATCATTTCTGGAAGTAAACAAGAGTAAATCCTCCAAAGATGGTGAAGCTAAACAGTCTAGCAACAGTCCCGTTTATCTTAGTCTAGGAGACGTCCATGTTAAAATTACCAAAAAAAAAAAAAATAATAATAATAATAAATAAAAAACAATGATTTTCTTTTTAGGGCAAGAGAGCAATGATAGCTCTTAGATGAATCAATCCAGATCCCAAGATGATCAGGCCAACAGCTGAGAATTATGCTTTGGGCGACACCTAATGGTTGAGAAAATCACTCGCCCAACTCCTTTGAAGAGGGCTTTCTTTTATCTTGGCTGTTAAGCCACCTCCTCAGAATAGCCTGGGTGCCTGCTAAAAACCCAGAGAAGCACCCTTTTACTGCTGGGATCTGCTGGCCTGGGTCACCGGGCCATCTGTATTTTCATAACCACCTGAAGTCCGCGAGAACCACTGATTTAAGCATCGCAGAATCAGCGGCCAGGCTAGGCGTGACACCAGAAGTTAGAGCAGACAGAAGCAAAGGGAACAGGCCCGAGCTGTGCTTTGAACTCTTGAGCCACGGAGGCCCAGGGTCGGGCGGGAAACAGATCCCCTGGGCGCGCTGGCTGCCCGTTTGGCAGTGCGGGGTGAGGCGGGGCCCTTGAGAGCAGCCACCGGGGCTGGCAGCCCGGGTCCCTGGAGGCGGGGCGGGGGGCGCAGGGGGACCGGCTGGAGGCGGGGACGCGGCACGCCCTAACGCCTGTGCTTTGCCGCCCGCAGACGAACCCCACGCCTGGAGTGCTGCCGCTGCCGCCGCCCCAGGCCTGCCGGAAGTAGGCGTGTCCCTCGAAGACATCTTCTCTCCATTCTCTCCATCACATCCAGCCCCACCCTCCGACCCCTCCCACCAGACAGGCCCAGACCCAACTTGGGAGATCCAAAGGGAACACGACGTTAGGAAACCAAAGGAGCTCGCGGCCGGCGGCCAGAAGAAGCAGCGCCTGGGGGAGCAGAGGGAGCGCTCGGTCAGCCCGCAGCGCAGCGCCAGGCCCAGGCTGGAGGAGGCGCCCGGCGGCCGGGGGCGGCCCGAGGCCGGCAGGCCCGCCTCGGAGGCGGCCGACGGGCAGGGGGCGCTGCGCGGCCGGCGCGAGGGCCCCGGGGCCGAGGCCAGGGTGGGCGTGCGCTCGGGGTCCCGAGGCGCCCCGCGGCCCACGGGGGGCGGCCCGGCGCGCAAGGCGGCGGTGGCGCCGGGGCCCTGGAAGGTGCCGGGCTCCGACAAGCTGCCCGGCGCCCTGCAGCCCGGCGCCTCGGCCGCGGGCAGATGAGGCCCGAGGCGGTGTGGGGAGTGGGGGACCCCGCCAGCCGCCTCCACGCAGGCTGTTCTTCCTGGGTCCCGTCCCGCGGCGTTTTAATTTATTTCCACGGTCACACGCATAGATCCCACACGAGGCGCCGAGGCCCCGGGAGCACCGGCCTGCGACGCGCGGTGGGCGGCAGGGCGCGGGGTGCGCGCGGACCTGAACTGATCCTGAAGCATCCCCCCACCCCACTCCACCCCCGGTTCCGCGGCGGGAGCTTTCGGCAGCTACGGAAGAACCAAAACCACGCAAACATCACAGAGAGACAGTGCAGTGTAGCTTTAGTTTTAAAAAGAGAAAGAAAAAAAAAAGTTCCCCCCACTGCATGAAGGATTTGGATGTCATCCAAACTTTATATCAAGAAACTGAACAAGTTCAGAGCAATCAATCACAAACTGGAATATCGCCTTAACAAAAAAAAAAAAAAAAAAAAAAAAGAAAGAAAGAAAAAAACAACAACAACAAACTGCACGGAGCAAGCGGAAACTGAGACAAGATTATATCTTTTAATTGATCTAAAGTGTTGTAAATAAATCGTTCTTGACATATCTAGACAGGGGTTAAAGGGTTTCTTTGAAACATTCAGAACTGTTTGCCCATGACGTTTCCCTGGCTCGCCCTTGGCATCCACCTACAGAATTAGCAGCACCATTTCCTGCCTACTGCAGGATGAGTTAGAACCCTAGTGAATTCATGGGTGTGATGCCATTTTACTGCCATTTCTGTGATCAAGTCATATTTCTGTACATTTTCAGTAGTAGGGGAAAAAAAGGTTTTAAAAATTGTATCCTAGGGAACAGTTTGCGGTAAGTCAGAATTTTGCAGGTTAGCTCGTAGATCTTAATTGGTTTCTCTCTAAAATATGAGTTTTATAGTAAGAAAAAAAAACCCATAATCTGTTTAATCGAGATTGGCAACGCTGCAGTTCCTTCCTGAGGCTTTCCTGTCGTCCCAGACACGTGGAGATGGGTAGATGCTCTCTTAGCAATGTTCTGTTTTACCTATTTTATTGTCTTATTTTAAAACTTCTTCATTACTTCATTTGCACTTTGACGAAGTTTTTGTCCTATATTTCTCAAATTAGAATGAATCTCTAATATTAAAAGCATTATGATAACTATTTTCATTAAAGAACACGAGTCCTTTGGCATTCCTTTCTATTTATCTTTCCTTATTTGATCTCCCTTTTCTTTGGTTTACTTTCGCCTTGTATTGCTAATGCTTTTATTACACTACCTACCTACAGATTCCCCCTCATGTTCCCAGGTTACCTCCACAGGTCAACGATTGACCCTGTAGTAAAACTGTAAAAACAAAAACAAACAAGCAAAACAAAACACATGAGCTTCAGTCCGCTGTCCATTGGTCCTGCTTGTAGCCGCACATGTTAGAAGGCAAAAATGTCTAAAGGCAATTTGTCATGAACATGCTTTGTGTGAGTGAGGCTTCAACCCTTCCCATAGTCTGACACTTCCGTAAGTTCCAAAGCAAGTAAGACTCGCCCCGCTGCACTTGTAGTCAGTAAGTAAGAGTGGAGGAGGAGGTACGTCCCTCACTTCCTGGCCACACACAACCCCACCCTCCATCACCTGAGCACTACCTGCTTTAATTGCCATCAGACGACGGATAGTCGTCGGACAAGCCAATATGGTGGAAAGCCTGGTATGAAGGGTCTTTGCAGCTTGTAAAAGTAATTTCCAAAACGAAACACATTCATCATAGACAAAAAGCACAAACACATGTAGCGGTCTCTCCTTTCGGTTTAATCTCAATTCGTCTTTCACCCCTGGACTAGAAATCCGATATAGTTTGCCATTAATTTATTGACTCTGGGTTTGGACAATGCTTCTGTAGTGTAGCTGCACGTCCTGGTACTGTACGCCCTGCCCTTTATTTTCCACACGTTACAAAAGGACAAAAGTGGAGATTACCCTTGCATAAACTCTAATTTGCACAGTTCACAGCTACTATGTGTGCAGTACTTGCTTTATGCGGCTGTAATCCATAACTTGTGAAGGCAGCACATCATCTAAATCTCATTCCAAATAATATTTCTGTGTAGTGTTAGCTGTGAATTTACCCTGTACAGCTGTATCTCTATAAATATAATTCCATGTATTAATAGTCACAGAAAGACTGTAAGTGAGCAACTATTTTTATGAAACGCACCACTATGGATAAATTAACTTTTACAGAAATCTTGTTTACTGTATGATATTCTAAAACACTGTCAAATAAAATATATATCCAAAAAAATCTTTTCTTTTTCCAACTATATACACTGTGTGTTGATTTTAATTTAGAAGGGACTAGAGGTTACTTTGTTTTATTAATTTTTTATTTATTTAGGTTTTTTTTTTCAAGAAAGGGTTGCTCTGTGTAGTCCTGGCTGTCCTGGAACTCCCTCTGCAGACCAGGCTGACCTCAAATTCAGAGTTCCACCTGCCTCTGTCTCCCAAGTGCTGGGATGAAAGGCGTGTGCCACCACTTCCTGCCCCCTGCCCCCCCCCTTTTTTAGCTTTTTAAAGCTGCATTTTTTTTTTTTAAAGTAGATTTCTAAAGTTAAGTTTAATGGCCCAAAGAGAACTTCTTTGAGACTTCAATATGGATGTTCTGGCAATACATGGAAAAGACTTTTTTTTTTTTTTTAACTCAAGTAAACTAAGAGAATCCAGGTAGTACTGTCTTCTGCTTATATCACTTATGACTGTGCCTTGTGTTTCTACCACTTGCTATATTGATACCTTAAATCCTGTTGTGTGGAAAAAGTTATACTATCAACAAACATAAAAGCAGTATTTAGATCCAAAAACAATGGCTAATTATAGGCTCTACGTTGAATGGGGAGAGAAGGTTCTTTCTGAGGGTTGGTTCATGGAGTTTGTGATCTAAGGGAACAGTTCTTAGCTGCTGCTTCGGGGCCCTTGCCCAGTTACATCAAGAAGAGACCTAAAATTCTAAACCTGTCAATCTTTCATTCCAACACTGTTTCCTTTATTAAAGGGATCACACCTCACTTTCAGAAAAGAAGGGCAGGAAATACGAACTCCAACACAAAGTTAAGGTGGTTGTGAAAAAAAACGCTCGGAGCTCGTCCTGAGCTGATGAAAGAATGGAGAGGGTGGGAGAGAAAGCAGGGCGACACCAGCCTGCAGAGACTCAGAATGTAAGGGCCTCCAATCCAGACAGGGGAGCCTGAGGAGGGGCAGCGAGCGGAAACAGGACTGAAGGATGAACACGCAGTTCCTCTCAAGTTGCTCTCTTGTCTCTCTTGTCAAGGTCAGTGTAGAAGAATCTTGGTTTCTCATGAAAAAAAAAAAAAAAAAAAGACAGATATTTGAAATTGTGCAGTTTGGTCTTGTTTTTAAGGCTGACATGGTGAATTTACATTTTTCGAGAACCAGTGAACAAGAAGACTAAGCCAGGACTGTGACAGACCGCCCGCAGGGCACAGCTGCCTCCAGCCCACCGATTTGCAACTGTTGTGTTGGAGCAGCAGCCAGAGCTGAGGCAGGGCAGCCCTAGCGTGGGTGGAAAGAGAAAACGGTGCCGGGAAGAGACCCCGGGCAGGGAAGCCAGCGGCTGACCTGGAAAGGCTGCTGGAGGCTTGGCTGAGCAGAAAGCTCTCTGCCTGCAGCCAGCCCACCGTTCCTGCAGGCGGGCAGGCTTGCTGAAATTCAGTTGCCCAAGCTTGTGTTATTTGGACGTTTATATTCTTAGTAGGTTCTCCCCATCTGTGTAAGCGCATGTCCCAACTTTATCTTTTCCACACTTGTTGTTTTGTTTTGTTGGGTTTTTGTTTGTTCGTTTGTATGTTTGTTGTTTGTTTGTGGCAAACTCAGCAAAATAACCAAATGGCATGCCTGTTGCAGGTCTAGGTTGGACAGTCTCCTTCAAGAAATGTAGCCCCAGACAGGGTGTCCATAAAACCACAAGAGTCTGCTCCAAGTCTTAAAATGAGGGCGCTCTGTCCAACTATAGGTTCAGGTTCTCATCTGCTCCGTGCAGGGCCCTAATTAAATATGTCGTGATCATAATTATTATTCATAATAATAGCTGCGGCTGTAAACATTTGTGCATAAACAGTAGAGTAATACCCTAGAATTAGACAGAACTCTTGCTGGGCATTCTGGAATACGTTATCCATGAGACGCCATCATCAGGGACTCGGCAGAAGCTCAGTTCTGTGTCACCACCGCTGAGGGTTAACGGTAAGTTGCAGGGAGAGCCGAACCGATCTGAGGGACTCTGAGAGTTTGATGGAGTCTCTCCACCACCATCCACACCTCCTCAGGGTTGGGGACGGGGAGGGGCAGGGGGGGGTTACTCGACAGAACTCTTAGAAAACGGCATCTCCAAACAACTTTGACCTCCCCCAAATGGAAATACATCTTCCTCAAACTGGGCAGATAGGATGGTTCCGTAGGAGGAAGTACCTTACAAGCCAGGCAGTCACGGAAGGAGCGGTGAGACTCCGGAAAACTGTCCTCCACGTGTGCTCTCATGGCACCAGCACCTGTGATGGGGCACCCGAGCACCTGTGGCACCTGTGCTGCATGGCACCCACACACCCAAATTCATATACATCCATCATATGCAATGATGATGATGATGATGATGATGATGATGATGATGATGATGATGATGATGAAATTTAATGGATAATGAAGTCTAAAACCCTCACAAAATGTGTCCATCCATGTGGAAGACTGAAAGATGCCTTTGTGATTTCATCCTATCCAAGAGGCCTTCACACTCCAGGAACACACACCCCGGGAAGGGCAAAGTTTGTAGGCAATGCCCAGGGCAGAAAGAGCTCACAGTCCATTTCACCAAATTCAGCTCCACTCTCCTGCATTTCCTGTTTCTGCTTGATCTCTGGCAGGCTCCGAATCAATACCACTGGATCACTGCATGGTGTGAATACTTCTAGGGAGCTACAAAGAGGTGGCTGAAGGACACAACCCTTACCGGGTAACACCAAACTGGCAAAGCCAAGCATACCAGCAGGTTGCCCCCTCCTTCATCCAGGAGCCCGTCCTTCAGGTTAAGAATTAGTAAGCACACTTAGGTGAATTCTAAAATCAAGCTAGGCTTTATTTTGTAAGTGTGACTCGGCCAAATCAGTCCCTTTCTGTGGAATAAATCGTTTGGTTGATTAGCTCAATCACAAAAGCCTGGCTTAAATGGACAATTAAACTGTGTGGGAGAACTTTTCCATAAATGAAGGATTTCAAATACGGGAGCAGGAATGTAAAATGAAAATGTATTTAAAGTGTCCATGCAAGAAGAAATACCACCTTTGTAACATCAGAACTTATGACTAAGAAAACAGGAAAAGGGCTTTGGCTTTATAGCTTAGGAGGTAAAGGTGTTGGCCACCAAGCCTGAAGTTCTGAGTTTAATTTCTGGAGCCTAAATAAAGAGTGCTGACTTTGGAACACAGGTCGTCTGCTGGCCTTCTAGCGTGTTCCCCTCCATACATTAAGGAAAATGTTAAAGTAAATACACATCTTAGCTTGGGATTGTAGCTCAGCTGCATGTAAAGTGGTCACCATGCATGCACAAAACTCATAAGCTCCATGAAACCATCCCCCAAAAAAATTACAGGTGTTAAATTAAAAATGAAGTCAGATCTAGAATTATTTCAGGACTACATGCTGACGAACATCGCTTATAGATAAGCCTTCATTTAGTCCATGTGGTGGTTTGAATAGGTATGGCCCACATATACTCATGT